TAAGTCATTAACAAACAATTGGTTAAACAGTCCATTTATTAGACAAAAAGTCAGACAACAATATAAAAAATGTGTGTATTACATGTAATGGAGGGAAATTGTTTTTAAAACAATAATATATTTGACACTAAAAACCGTTTTTAATGATTGCTTGTTATATTTTAATTTCTTTTGACAAAAACTCTTCAAAAGATTAGTCACAATATGGTAAATACCAAAAGATAATAAAAATATATTATAGAGAGAAAAAACAGTCAAAAATCTTGCTTCATTGTATTGTCCGAAAAAAATACACAGTTAATAAAATGGGTTTTTTGAAAAGTTTATTTTTTTATAATAACTATTGTGTGTACATATTTTTTTTTGTTTTTTAATTATCACTGATGTGTTCATGTTACTTTTGCAATTTGTATTTCATTTTAAACTCAAACCCATTTTTTTATTTATTTTTTTATGTATAAAAAACATATTTGTTGTTTCAGAATAAATGTTATTGCATTTTACCATTATTTTTATTTTGCCATTTTTTACTTTCTGTCTATAATTTTATTTTTTTTCATTTTTTGCAATTTATTTGTTTATTAGTTCATAATTTGAACTCGTTATTCCATTTTTATTTTACAACAATTAAAATACACTGTATAATATATTTTTTTTTTCAAAAAACAAAAACACTGCTCTTTTTAACAGTATTGGTTTGTTGGGGATTAGGTACGTCGGCGAGTTAACCACATACCTAATTTTAATACAATAATAATTGTAATTATAATAAATACAGAATTTATTGATTCTTCTTGTTAACAAACAATCATATTTTTTTTATTTTTGTTTATTCATGAAAAATTTGAGTTGTAAAAAATCTACCAATCATATACTATAAATAAAGTATATAAAATAAATAAGGTTTATGGACTGACTTTACAAAATAACTTTAAACACTTTTTAATGTTAATAAACTTACAATAGACACTACTTTGATTTATTTTAAATTGTTGTTTTTTTAATATTTTAATTATGATAAATTATTTTTTATAGTTATAAGAACCTCTCACTTTTTTGATATAAATTTTTGTTTAAATGTTTATTTTTTAAAATAAAAATTTGAATTGAAAACTTTTTCTCATTTTTCGTTTTGATGGTTAAAAACAATGGTAATTTGCAGGATTTGATAAATTACACTTTTTGCACCATTTTGTTTTTTCTTTGTAAATACTTTACATCTTTATACTCAATTTTTTAAGTTTTCAAGTTATTAAACAAACAATGAAATATTGTTTAAATTATTATACAATTCAATACAATTAAAAGTATTTTATCCTAAATACCTTTCGTAATGGATCTTCAAGAAAATTCTTAGAGCTTTGATAAAACAGACCAATAATTACAAATATTTCAAAAATATAAAACGATACCTCTTTATTTGTCTTGTTTGGAATTTGTGAACATTCAATAGAACAAATTAAGAGTTTAGAGTGGAAATAATTCCATATAAACCAACTCCAAACCCAAATTACATATGTCCACCTTCCAAAACCCCAACCTCTATGAGTTTGACAAAACCAACCCCCATATGCGCCAGGCTATGCCTGATGAGCCATTTGTTGGTATATACCAGAAAATCCAGATGTATGCAGTTGATCTCATGAGTCAATTGGACCCATCAAGAGCTGAAGAGTACAAAACACTTCCGTTGAAATACCATGCTCAGTTAGAAGATTCAGTTTTTAAAGGATCAATTCAAGACTACTTTGCAGGGTGTTTTGACAGTGAATCCGTTATTTTTAAGAATTCCTTTAGATCTAGTGTTGGAAGGGTGCAGTCTTATCTTAGGTTTGTATAGTGAACGTATTTAAGACATTAACACACTTTTTTAAACAAAACAATGACTTATAGATTCTTGTATGAAAAGGACACTTGTAAAGAAGAGCTTGACAAAATCATAATTAAGAACCCCCTGTTCATTGTTGCACTCCCAAGAAGTGGATCAACATTCACACACGCCGTATTGAGTCAAGACCCAAACGCGAATTGTATTGCACTATATGAACATCTCTCTCCAGGAAGCAAGACGATGTGCAGAGAAGGAAGATTAGCTTTTGCCAACAAAATTGTAAATCCCATAATCAATGAAAAAGACCAATTCAACAAAGTTCATGCACTTGACGATGTCAAAAAAGCAGAGGAAGAAATCTTCTTCATGGAGATGTTGGGACACACATTAATCTATTCATCATGCCTACCAAGACTCGAACAGTACAGAGAAAACATCTTCAAACGATCATACCAATTCATGTATGAAGCAATGATCGAGGAGTTCAAAATGCATATCATGGACTTGGGAATGACTGAGAAGCAACACCTTTGTTTGAAGGCAGTGTCGCATTTCTTAAACCCTGGTGACTTCTTGGATATGGTCAGAAAGACTGAAGGAAGAGTAGTCTGGATTCATAGAGAGCCTATTGCCGAGTTGAAGAGTGTGATAACAGCATACCTCAGAATAAGAGGTAACTTCGCTGGCGACCTTGGCTTTGATGACTTCAAGTGGCTCAACGAAAGTGTCATTAGAATGAACACCTTGTGTTTGAAGAATTCAATTGCGGCAAGAGAGGCATGGGTCAAGGAAGACCCGAAGAGAGAAAAACAAATCTACGACTTGGCTTTCTCATCAATGACAAAAGACCCCATTGGAGAGACTAAAAAGATCTATGAGTACTTTGGAATGGAGTACACACCAGAATTCGAACAAAACATCAAGAATATGGTCCACCCACAGGGAAGTTTCGGGAAGATAGCAAGCGATGACGACAAAATAGTCTTTGACAAGGAGGATGTGAGAAAAAGATACATGTTCTATTACGAGAGATTCAAAGAGTATTTGCCAAATTATTTTAAATGATTTACTTTGATTTTAATGAATATTTACCGTCTTTCGAAAACCACTTTTTTAATTTAGGAAGTTTCAACTGTATTTATTTATTAAATGTGATTAATAAATGGCTTATTTAATCTATTTTAGTGATTATCTATAAAATTTTGTTATTTTTTATAATATCAAGTGATGAACTAAAAAGACAGAAAAAAAGCGATGTTGCCAAAATAATAGTTATTTGATAACACTTTTATAGTTAGTTGTTTAGTTTATTTTTTCACTTTTCTGTAATTCAAAAAACAAGGTTTAACAGGTTTTATTTTTTGTGTATTTTTTTGTTAATTTATTTCACCATAATACCGTTTTTGCTTCAATCTATTTTTTTGAATAAATAAAACTTAGCCTTACTATTTTTTATTTATATCAAACCATTTACTTTGAATGTATTATTATAATAATATTTTCATTTGATTTTATAAAGTAATTATGATATTAATGTAATTATACCATTTTATCGATAGCAAATAACGACTTTGAAAAGTACCAAGGTTTTACTGTTTTCAAACAACAACGAAAACTATGTTGTCCCGAAGATGATATTTGGAGTAATAGTTCTTTACTTTCGACAAGTTGTTTAAGAAACGATATTCACAATTATTTTTTTGTCAAATTGAATATGTTTGAAAAATATATTATATTTGAAAGAACATAGACAACGGTGTTTGTTTCGATAGTCTTATTTATCTTGTTATTCCGCTATTTTTTATCACTAATTAATAATTAGTTTATTTTTTGAAACATAAAATATAGTTGTTTTTAAAAAATATTTGGTTTGTTTTATTTTTCAAGATTGTTTTTCACCAACGCTGAATTTTTGTTCACATCTCAAAAATAATCAAATTAAATTTTAGATAGATTTTTAGTAAATAGTTGAAAACAATCACACCAATAAGTTGGATAAAAACAACGGAACGTATTACGGAGAATTGAAAAAACGCAAAACAAACAAGCCAGCAAACTATTATCTTTTCATTTCATTGAAACAACAAACTGTGTTATAGAATGTATTACAACAATAAGTGAACAAGTTTGTTATATGTAATGTATATACTAATCTATATATTCAATAACAATGACATTCAAGGTAATTGAAATGTACTTGATAGTGAATCTGTTTTGGATACTCCAAGTACATCGCCTAATACTAAAAATTTTATCGATTTAAAAATATATGTATCGGGATTTCTGATGTTTCTATTGAGTAAATCCCGAAAAATATTAAAATTATATCTTCGATATAATATCTTATTTAAACTACTTCTTATTTGTTAGTTGGTTTGAGTAATATCCTTGTGCAGAAAAATGTCAAGAAAAAATAAAACGGGCATGACAGTCTTTTTAAAAGACCAAATGACAAAAAAAGAAAAAAATAACACTGCCTAATAAAAAAATTAACAGGGAAACAAGGAAACGTGTTAACAAAACCAAACTTTTTTTTCAAACCGCCAAAAATTATTTTTTTATATCTGATATTTTTTTCTTGTAAAGTAAAGGTTTAATATAGACTTTTGACAAGTTGATGTATACTAGACTGGCCAACCCCACTAAAAATAACCCCAAAATTTAATTTTTAAACCATTTGAGCATATTTTGACTTGTTATTTTTCTTTTTACTTAAACTAGTAAACAATAATAAATTTAGTCATATAGATTATACGTGCAAACGAAATTAAAAAAATGCTTTAATTTATATATTTCAGCTCAAAAGTTCGTTATTTTAATAAATAATAAAACAAATAAATAGAATGAAGTATTAAAATTATTTGAGCAAAATATTACAAATATTCATTTTGGTAAATAATAATAATTTTTATTGTAAAATATGTACAACTTGTTGTTTTTGGCATTTTTTCGTTATGTGTAAAAATGACAATCGAGTTTTTTTCTCAATAGCAAATTACCAACATCATGATATTCAATAACAACAACAGGAGATAAACAATAAATGGGATAATATATTTAAACAAACTTGTAAATTGGTTTAAAGACTGTTAAACACTGTTTCATATATCGTACAAAAAAATAAAATACATATAATTTCAAAGAATGAAGTTCTTAACATAATAAACAATTGTAACATTAGATAAATTGTAAATCATGATTATAACAATTTGTGTGAATTTTAAATCACGATAATTTAACCCAAATTATAAAAAGTATGAAATTTGCAAGTTATTATTCATTAGTTATAATCACATTGCATATGTTTTAATTGAAATGTTATTTTGAAAATGAACAATGATTTCAACATATAAGTGGTTAACAGTTACGAAAAATAAACATAAAGTTATATTTTAAATTGACAAGCCTTTAATTTATATATTTTTTGCAATAAAAATTACAAATCATATTCATTATACATTTTTACTGTTATAATATTGTAATTAATTGACTGCACAATGATTATGTTTTTAATAATTTTGTAAAACCAATTGTTATATTCAATTTAGATAATATTAATTAAATGATTATTGAAAAATAATTATCAATCACATCATTTATTTAAAAGATGATTACTTTTAAAGAATATATTCTTG